GGGTTAATCATTGTTTAAACTCCCAGTTTCCCCCATGTGATAAACTCCAATTTTAATATGGTCAACATCCAGCAGATGTTGTCCTAGAGATTTATAGAAAAAACACTGCTCTAGGCATTTCTGGGTCATACAGCACAGGTCTATGGTCAACGTCTGGCCGATATTGACCACAGAGTTGCACTGGAGAATCTAGAGAGGTATTCTCTTAGTTGAAAAAACTGGTGTTGTTGTTTTTTATTTGCAGTTTTTCCACTTTCACAGGGGTCCTGTGCCCTGAACCCAGCGAATGTGGAGGGGCCACTGTTACAGTGCTTATTTATAATGCCCTTCCCACCAAAGGGCAGAACATCAAACATATATAATCAAGAACAGATGATAAAACAAAAGACTATAAAGTGCTAAAATACTAAAATTAAATGCTAATATACAAAAACAGACCAAATATAGTCAGCCCTCTGAACCCACAGATTTTTTATCCACAGATTCAATCATCCATGGCTTGAAAATATCAAAGAAAATATACATTCCAATAAGCAAACCTTGATTTTACAATTTTATATAAGGCATGACATTTTATTAAGTCATTATATTTAATGGGACTTGAGCATCCATGGATTTTGGTATCCACAGGGGTCCTGGAACCAAACCTAGTAGATACCAAGGGCCCAGTGTGTGTGTTTGTGTGTGTGTATAGTTGTTAAGTGTCTTCAAGTGGTTTCTGACTATAGTGACCCTAAGGTGACCCTATCATTGGGTTTTCTTTGTAATTTTCTTCATAGGGGTTTGCCATTGTCATCCCCTGAGGCTGACAAGGCATGATTTACCCAAAGTTATAATACATTGAAAGCCTATAGTGTTTTTTAGGAGTGTATTTTAAAGATTTTATAGTGTTGTCATATGTGGGAGAACCAATGGCACTCACTATGGGTCAGAGTGGAATGGAATCTTTCTGGATCTTGGGAAGTCCATACAGTCTAGGTGGGAGTGCCTCAGGTCAGCATAAACTTTGACATGTGGTTGTCAAAGTTTATGCTGACCTGATATATAAAAGATCTACTTATATAAAAGATCTACTTTATTCTACTATATATAAATAAATACTA